TGACACTGTCTTTGTTTTAAACACTGCTTTTCCTTTTCACACTGTATTATTTCTGAGGAGGAATGTCTATTTTCCAACTTCATGTGTGCAGGGTCTTTAAACAGTACTTGAAATCATTCATGTGTTGAATGAACAATGAGTCATAGACATTTGCCTAATTTGCAGTCTTCTAATCACAAGAGGTCATGCCTGAAGAAGACATTTGGAAGAATCCAAATTAAAGTGAAAGTGGAGGCTTAGTTATGGCATGAGTCCTATAAATAAGATGTGGGAGAAATGCAGGATTAGGTTTTGGAAGTCATCCATGGATGGGAGCCAAAGAAGCAGTGTTGATGGTACAGGAGAAAGGATTGTGGGAAGTAGAGAAGCCAGGACTTTGCACAGGGAAGACAGAGTGAGAAGAAGAGTATTGGGCATGCAATGAATTGAAAACATTTGCTGCAAGTACCTAGAGGGATGTCACTTACAACTTTTAGAGAGAAGTTCATTATTGAGAGTAAAAACTGATTTCAGAGACATAAGGAGGATATGAGTGGATAGGATGAGAATGAATGAATGTGAATTTTCATCCAAGGATTAAGATGGGATAGGAAATAAAATAGCTATTAGTTACAGAGAGATGGTAGAGTTCTCAAAGGGATGATTATTATTCATCTTAATGTTGGAAAATATTTTAATTGTTGCTCTTCATAAGTAATACTTTATAAAGGAGGTTGACAGTTGTGCTATATGTGAAGTTCCATGTTTTGTGAAGTTGAAACTGATCCATATTTGAGACTCTTAATTGAGGTGGGTAGAGATCTGTGGTCTAATGTAGAGCTTAACATGCTCCCAAAGCTGGCACTGATATTGGGTGATTTCAGTGTGCCATGCACATTGTTGATGAGAGGATCTGTTGATGCAAAGCATTTCAGAATCATATTATTAGTGTATGTACTGGGAGTCACTTGTTTGCACAACAGTACATTTATACTTTTGAAAAAACCAGAAATTACTGCTTTAAATCAATAATAACATCCCATCACCGTGTCAGGTAAATTGAAATACACAAAGAAAATAAGAAACAGCCATTACCTACAATCTAAAGAGAAAGTCCATCTCCCTGAAATGAGTAAAGAACAGTAATTAACAAGATGCTGATTATGTGATGCCCCCTCCTAATTAAGGCAAGGAAATAATAGAAATGACTTCTTTAAGAAATGGTTAGTCTAAGACTTGGTAAAGGAGAGGGAATTTTTAAGGGAAAGGATAAGCATAGAAGGAGAATTGTCTTTAAGGGGAAGAATGTGAAACAAAGGGAAAATCTGAATATGCCTCAATGTTATAAAAAGTAAGTGATTTGCCAGGACTCAGCTTAGTTTCAGAATTATTTTCTGTTTGTTGTTCATATATTGGGTTGAAATAAAATTATAAAAATAGTATTTGTGCCTTTTAAAAAACTGAAGTTCACAAGCAATCATAAAGTAAATCTGCCTGCTTCCCCAATCCCTGTCCTTTACTTAATGATAGCTGCCTTTGATATTCTTCTGGAAATGTTATGACGTATTTCTGTGTATATATATATATATTTATATATATGTTATAAATATAGTCCATGTGTGCTCTTTTTGCCATCTGCTTTTTTTTCATTTAACAATATATCTTTGAGGTCTTTCCGTGTTGCTATATTGATATATCTTATTTTTTTAAGCTACACAGTGATGAACTATATGGGGCATTATTGTGTGCTCAACCTGCATAAAAACCTTATAGATCTGGCACAGTATATGAACTTTTTTTTTCTTTTTTTCTTTTTTTTCTTTTTTTATTTTTTGACAGGCAGAGTGGACAGTGAGAGAGAGACAGAGAGAAAGGTCTTCCTTTGCCGTTGGTTCACCCTCCAATACAAGACGAACATTTGTTATGGCAATTGAGATGCCACTTGGGATACCCGCTTTCCATACTGGGATGCTTGAGTTTGAGTCCTGGCTTTGCTTCTGATTCCAGCTTCCTACGAATGTGCACCTGGGAGGTGACATGTGATAACTCAAATATTTGTGTCCCTGCCAACCATGTGGGAGATTTCAATGGAGTTTCCTATTCTTGGCATCTTCTTGGGCCAGCCCTGGCTGTTGTGGGCATTTGTGGAGTGAACTGGTGGACAAAAAATATTGGTCTATATTTCTCTCTCTGTTTCAAATAAATACATAAAAATTTTATATATATATGTATATATATATAAAAGATTTATTTATTTGAAATTCAGAGTTACAGAGAGAGGGAGAGGCAGAGAGAAAGAGAAGTCTTCCATCTGCTGGTTCCCTCCCCAGATATGTGCAATGGCTAGGACTGTGCCAGGCTGAAGCCAGGAGCCAAGAGCTTCATCTAGGTCTCCCATGTGGGTGGCAGGGGCCCAAGCACTTTGGTCAGTTTCTACTGCTTTTCCCAGGCCATTAGCAGGGAGTTAGATTGGAAGTAGAGCTGCTGGGACATGAACCAGTGCCCACACAGGGTGCTAGCATCACAAGGGCAGCTTTACCTGCTATGTCACAACACTGGCCCCAAAAGTATATACACATGATTATGCTACAAGAGGCTTAGTACAAGATAGTAGATGTAATCTTACTTCTATTTACCTACATATGTTCCCATGGGCTTCAAATATAGAATGATAAAATCATTGGTTTGGAAGGCTTTAAAGGCCGTCTTGGGCATGACACCTTAATCTCTTTGATAAAATACCTATTGCCTAGGAGAAACAGCTTTTGTTTGAACGGGTTGCTTGCTTATGCTTAAGCTGCAAGGAACAGAAGACCTGACCAACAAAAGGCTTAAACAGCGAGAGCATTTCCTGAGACACTTAGCTTTTCCTCAGAGTTCCTAGATTGTTGTGGTAATTCAAGCATCACCACTTCACACAATCATGTTCCCAGGCAGACAAACAATGGAGGATCCTGCCCCAGAAGCCCCTTGATGAACCTTCCCTTGCTTCCCGTTGGCCAGAATCATGTCACATAGCCAAGTCTTAGCTGCATGGGATCCTGGGAAAGCCAGTCTCTGGAATATTTAGACTGTAGTGATTGATGGGTATTCTCAGCAAGGAAAGTTGAAAGGGGTTGGGATGAAAGATCTGTGTCCCAGCGACTCCACTGTGGGTCATAATTAAGCTCTGTATGCCATCTCTAAAGAACAAGACTTCTGATGAAGAAAACATGTAGAAAGCTATTGTGTCTCCTTTCCTCCCATTCCTCTGCACTCCTTTGCATGGTCTTTTATGGACGATCATAATGGTGCAAAGCACAGATCACTGTTTTCTGTGACCCAGACTCTGCCCTCCCATTTGCAGTTAACTCGACCGTGTGTCACAGCTATATTGCACACTGAGATTCTTTATACCAGTGTATCAAAATTCATCGTCATATCTTTATGGTTTCTTCTGTTGTGCCACTGCAGTTGCCTGAAATAATAGGCTGAGAGTAACAAGTCAGAATCTCTACTCAGTAATTTTAATTGACTAGAGTTATAAGGACAAGTGCGTTCTTGTATCTTTTCATTCCTTTTGATCACTAAGGATGTTATAAATTTTAGCTGTGTCTTCACTTCCCTTCTCCTCTTTCTTCTTTTTTTTCCATCAAACTTCTAAAAGACGTCTGATGGGTGGTAAGTTATAGTGGATATGGGAGTCCTTAGCTCTAAGTTACGTACCAGCATTTGTTTCTTTGGGCTTAGTATTGTGAAACAATTTTAAGTGTTTAGAAGAAAGTATTAAATAGTGTAGAAACAAAAGGCCAGGACTTTCGAGCCTATGTGTGTCACTATCCTCTTGACTTAAGTTTTAGGGATCCTTGAGGGTTTATCTCTCCTGGAGTGTAAGGATTACGAATCCTAAGATTCCTCTTTCTTGTTATATTTGTGTCAAGGATCCATCCTATTCCAACTGCACTCTTCAGAATTATTAGATAACATACTTCAGTATGCTTTTTTTGAATGGAAAATTATAATAAGGAAAGATCCAATTACTTCATATTCTGCATCAGACATGAATGGAGACGGTGTTTACTGGAATATTTCAGATTTTTCCCCCAACATTGAATTTGTGAAATTATTACCTTTAAAAACTTAGCTCCTACTTAATACCTTGATTTCTTTAATGCAACACTCTTTGGATTTGTTTGACTCCTTTATATAAATTTCTAGGAATCATGAAACATAGGAGGTTTAAAACTAGAATCTTATCAGTTCAAAATATGCAAAACACATTGGTTCAATTTTAAAAATGGTGTCTGCAGCCTTGGAATAACAGTGTTTTTTATGTTCACTTAAAGGTAATATTATATGCAAGGAACATGGAGTCTATTGTTGTGTAGAAAACTAAGCAAGATTTTAAACAATTGAATAGATAGCTGTCCACCCTCTAACCTAATCTTCCTTCCTGGGTGCCATTTGGACCTAGCCAGTGTGGTGCGACTGGCTGCTTGTCATTTCATGGTCCATGAAAGTTACAAACTGTCTCTCACTGTATATTAGTAGGACAGCATAATACCCAAATTGAGGGGTAATCTGGCTTCTTGGCTAAGCCACACCAGAGACATTTGTTCCCTAATTTACCTGATTCTTGTGCTTCAGTTTTCTGCTATCCAGTGAAACAAATCTCACTACCTATTTCTTCATAACCAGTTTTCTTCCAAGAGAGTTTCCAAATAATTGTAGAGGAGACTTAAGATTCTTTTTGCCCATTTTGAGTGCTCAAAGATTCCAAAAGAGTTGCAAATTTTGTTTTCTTACCTGTTCATAAAAGCAATGGTGACCCATTCCGTTAGTACCTGCTTTGAGAAAGTGACAGGGCTGAGTGACCTTGTGGATTGGAGATTCATATTCATTCTATTATGAAACCTAGTAGTAGAAATCTTGGCCCATGGTTGTAATATACTTCCATAAATATTAGTCTATACCACAGAGTAAATGAAGAGGAGAAAGCCTCAAACGAATGAAAGACCACATTTTTGTTCTTTATGCTTTAGAAGTTCACCTGGACCCCTACCGGACATGGTGCCCTGTTGCGGACTGCCAGACCGTGTGTCCCATTGCATCAGGTGACCCAGGACAGCCTGTGCTGGTGGAATGCCCTTCTTGCCACCTGAAATTTTGCTCCTGTTGCAAGGATGCTTGGCATGCAGATGTCGCCTGTAGAGACAGTCAACCTATTGTCCTGCCAACAGAGCATGGGTAAGAAATGGAACTTTGTCCCTGGGATTATTCACTAATGTGTTTAGAAACTTGAAATGTGTTGCTTGGGGAAGTTGTTACATTGTGATGGTGTTTGGAGATTGGTTATTTTATTGTGAAAATTCCCAGAGAAGTGCCTCAGAATCAGCAAACTGCTAACAAAGAATAACCCCAAAAATGCATTTCTAAAAAGAATTTTAGTTATCAACCCCAGAAGAATCTTCCAGATACAACTGTAGGAATTTTGTTTGCTCTTTGCTCTTTTAGGTAGAGAGGTCCCATGCTCCACTGGTTCTCAGGAGCATGTTAGGGCTTGTCCACAGCTATTTATTGCATTGGTATACAAAGGTATGTCAAAGAGGTCATGGAAAATGGAATTAAAGGTAGTTATTCTGGTGCAGAAAAAATTTAGAAAATATGCATAATTTTGTCATATTACATATCCTCCATGAACATTTTGAATACCTTTCCATATGCATGGATTTCAACCTTTTTTTTTTTTGGTCCCCTAATACACTTATGTTTTAATTTCATTTTTTGAGAGTTCTAGAGATAGTCTTGTATTTTGTTCTTCCTGCTTGCAAAATGAGACCTGACTTCTTTTCTTCCTTGACTAAATTGCCAGCCCATGAGATATGCACATCATAGCAATAGAAACAAGTGAACAGTAATAGAAATTAGAGGCGTCAATCCTTAGGTGAGAGAGGTTCTCTTGTCATTCTCTGTGCACTGAAACTATGGTGCCAAAGTTGAGATTTGTTATGAGGAGAAGCAATTAAATCTGTGTCTTTCAGTACCCAGTGTTTTTATAGCAGCAGTAGGGCCCAGACAGAGTGAGGGACCTTTGTGTTCGGTCCCTTGCTTTGCTTGAGGCTATGGCTGTCCTGCATCAGCAGGAACAGATTTCCAGTGTCATGGTCCAGTTGGCTCAATCACTTTGTGCTCTTAGAGTGTGCAGAGCAGTCTCTAGAAATAGTAATGCTACCTGGCTTAGACACTGTGCTTGAATCTCTTGCCAAACAAAAGGAAAAAAAGATCCAATACACATAGCAGGCCTTAGCCAGGCTCAAACCAGCGCTTTTGACATTTTTACTGCTACAACAGTCAGCAACCTGGGTGTCGCAGGGCAATATGAAGAACTCACAGGGAAGGAAGAGTTGAGTTCTGACATTGTCACTTGGTGTCTGGGTCTCCTCATACAAGTCATTCAGTGTCTGTGAAACTGTTTCCCCATGGAAGAAAAAGCATTGGAATAGTACCTGTCCCACCACTATTTAGGGTTAGTGTCTGTATGAAGTCCAATCATGGATTTGATACTTTGAGAACCAAGTGTTGCTGTGTGCTGGGTGGGGGTTTTGATAAACAGTGGCTAATGTGTAATCCAGTGCTGTGGCTCCCCTGTCCCTTGACCCCATCTCAATGTATGCTACCTTTTTGTTTTCTTATGTCCTTTTTGGGGTGAGTCTGTACTGGCTGCTCACTTGCAGGTCTTTTCAACAATATTGGACATTTATTTTATAGTATTGCTTACTAAGACCATTCTCCCACTTGTTTAATGAGCAGATCATTAGATTCATGATCTATGCCCAATTTGGATCGTAAGCTTGTATCCCTGCTGTGGAGCTGACTCCTTGCACTTCTTATCCAGACAATGTATGCTTGGGAAATGAAATATTAATTTGGCAATAGAATGAGTTAAATCAACTGTGGAAAGTATAATGATGTAATTTTTCTCACAGCCAGAATAAATACATTTTCTTTCCTGCTTTGAGTTATCTGGACAGCTAGTAATCTACGTCTTCCCTATTTTTACCCTCAACCCTTGCTTTGGAAGTGACGTAAGCATTGATAACTGAGGGTGCATTCGTTACTATCAGAAGCCCTGGGGATTCAGCTGATGATTGTCAATTGCATGCAATTTCTCACCCGTGTTGTTTCTAGAGCCCTCTTTGGGACAGATGCGGAAGCCCCCATTAAGCAATGCCCAGTCTGCCGGGTTTATATCGAACGCAACGAAGGCTGTGCTCAGATGATGTGCAAGAACTGCAAGCACACATTCTGCTGGTATTGTCTCCAGAACCTGGACGTAAGTTCCACCTGTAAGGGGTTTCGCACCTAGCTTTCCTTGACTGCATCTGCACCACAGCCGCTATCCCACAGGTTTTCCTTTTAAAGTGATCAGCTTATTTGTGTCCTGCAAAAGGATTTTTTTTCTTTGCCAGACCTTGTGAGTCTGATATTTGATTGGTTTTAATTATTTTATTAAGAATTGTAGGTACTTAGGGACTACTGTGTGATATTTCAATACAGGAATACAGTGTGTACTGATCCAATCAGGGTAATCAACATTTCTCCTTCTTTGAAGGTACTTTATGACTAGGGGCTTGGAGTTCCTTTCTTCTACTACTTTAGGTTTTTACACACACTCTTTTTAATTAGCTTAAGTATATCACCTTGGCTTTAAAGGCAAGGGGGGTATTGCCCAATACCTTTATGTAAAGGAATATTAGTGGATTAGTTTTCTATTGCTATTGTAACAAATTATCACGAACTCCACGGCTCAACACAGATCTGTTACCCTACAGTTCTGTGCACGGCAAGTCTGACAGGAGTCCCACGCTGTTGGGCAGGACTGCATTTGTTTGTGGAGGCCCTGGGGAGAATCTGTTTCCTTGCCTTTTCCATCTTTTCTAGGCTGCCCACCCTTCTTGGCTGTGGCTCCTTCCTCCATCTCAGTGCCAACAGCATTGTATCTCGCTGACACTTTTTCTGAGTCTCTGCCTTTGAACACCCTTATAATGAGATGGCACCATTTAGATAGTATAGCTTAGTCTTCCCCATCTCAAGGCCTTTAATTTATCTTCACACTTTCAAAATGTCTTTTGCTAATGTAAGGTAACCAGTTTTCAGGTTCTGGGGACTAGTTCTTAGGCATGGGGATTGGTCTGCCTCCCACAGTTAGGTTGTTTTCCTCTTTTATAATTTAAGGAAAACACCTGTTCACATCAGTAGTGTTTCTTAACTAAATCTCATTTACTGGCATGACACAGTACTGCTACTGTTTGGTCAATATTCCCTTAGAAAATCAAGGGAGTTAGCCAAATTATTGTTCCCTCTTTTACTCTTCATGATGGAGGTTTAGGGTGATATCTATGAATAAGAATCTTTGTAAAACGTTTTTTACTTTTTAAGATTTTTGATTGACATGTTAATACTTGAATATTTTATGGGGTATAGTGCAATATTTCAACATAGATATCAGCATAAATTGATCAGATTGGGCCATTAGCATCCCCATTTCTTATTTTTTTCTTTGTGATTGGAGCTCCTTTCTTCCACTTTGTTATACAGTATATAGTACATTATTAGAATAAGAATTTTAATCAGGAGGAGATGTTGGGTGTAGCGGTTAAGATCTACCCGGGACACCTGCATCCTATATTGTGGCACCTGGATTCAACTCCTAGATCTGCTCCTAATTCCAGCTGCCTGCTAATGTGCACCCTGGAAGGCAGCAGGTGATGGCTCAAGTGCTTGAGTCCTTGCCACCCAAGTGGGAGACCTGGACTGAGTTCCCGGCTCCTGGCTTCAGCCTAGCCCAAACCCATCTGTTGCTGGCATTTGGAGAGTGAACCAATGGATGGGAAATTCTCTCTCTCTCTCTCTTTCTTTCAAATGCATAAAACAGCAAATAAAAGTTAAGAATTTTGATGATAGTCTTTCAAGAAGAAATACCAAGTGGGGAGAAGAAGATGGTCATTTTGCATGCTAGAAGTACAGCAGCTCACATTGAAGGAAATATTTTCCTTTAAATTTTTGTTTTGGATTTATCATAGCCTCTTGTGTAATAGTTATATTTGATATTTGAGGCCTATTATAATTCTAAATCAGCAATATTATGGATAAGGATTTCAGAGTGTATGGCATACGTGCATTATGAAAAAAAGAAATCTTTGTTGTTTTCCTTCAGATTTATTTAACCAGAGTGTTAATTGGATTCATATCCACATGGAGGCCGAACCCATGAGGTTCTCCTTAGAAGGCAAGAATATAAGACTAAATGTGTGCAGCAGATCTACATCCCTTAGCTGAAATACGTTTGGAGGCCAGTGCTAGCTGAGAACACGCTGTTCTCTTGCTGTGCTGCTCTGGTTCTCCAAATGAAGTGGTGCAGATGTTCAGTGGCTGGAGACACAGATTTCAAACACTGCAGCATCTTTCTCTCCTCACTGTCTAATGAGATCCCATTCTGTCTGTTTTCTCCAGGGCTACTGACTTGCTGGTAATGATCTTGTTCTGTAGACAAATGTTCTATGTCACAGAGTGGCACTGATCTCTGTTTTTAGGGATGTGGAGAGCACAGGGCCAGGAGAGGGATGGTGGTCTAAAATCCAACTCTGTGATAGATACCAAGATTCTGAGTGTTGCTGGGGTATTGAGTTTGTTCCTGCCTTGATGCTCAGCCCTGCCAGGACAGCAGATCGGCTCAGCTCTGGGTATGACAGGCAGAGTGGACAGTGAGAGAGAGAGACAGAGAGAAAGGTCTTCCTTTGCCGTTGGTTCACCTTCCAATGGCCGCCGCGGCTGGCGCGCTGTGGCCGGCACACCGCACTGATCCGATGGCAGGAGCCAGGAGCCAGGTGCTTTTCCTGGTCTCCCATGGGGTGCGGGGCCCAAGCACCTGGGCCATCCTCCACTGCACTCCCTGGCCACAGCAGAGGGCTGGCCTGGAAGAGGGGCAACCGGGACAGAATCCGGCGCCCCGACCGGGACTAGAACCCGGTGTGCCAGTGCCGCTAGGCGGAGGATTAGCCTAGTGAGCCGCGGCGCCGGCCATGGACAGGGTATTGCTAATCTTCTTTGGACTCCTGTTCCCACTTGTAGCCTCACACACTTGTCCCTGCCAATGATCTTGTCTCACCTGTGACTTCTATTTCTGTTCTCTCATTTAAAACAAGTCAGTGAATAAAATGAGCAAGCTTTTCTCCAGCCTACATCTTCTCCTCCCTGCCCCTCTATTTTTCTCCTTGGTTTGGAAGCCAAGCTTCAGTGAATCCTGGTTACCTCTTGCTGTTGACATCCCCTCCCCTGCCAATCACTGTAGTGCACTCAGATTGCCACCCTGCCACTTCCTGCCTATATTTTCTCTCCAGGATCTTGAGTAATTTCTTACTGGTGAAACCCAGTAGATGCTGCCGTCCCCACCTTGCATAGTTCTTTTGCTGCATGGCCTCCCCCCGTTTCAGTGATGCAGCCTCTGCTGGTTTTTCTTTGGTCTCCATGGCCATATCTCAGTTCCCTCTCCAGGTCTTCTCTGAGCTATTCTTTTTTTTTTTTTAACTTTTATTTAATGAATATAAATTTCCAAAGTACGGCTTATGGATTACAATGGCTTCCCCCCCATAACGTCCCTCCCACCCGCAACCCTCCCCTTTCCCACTCCCTCACCCCTTCTATTCACATCAAGATTCATTTTTGATTCTCTTTATATACAGAAGATCAGTTTAGCATACATTAAGTAAATATTTCAACAGTTTGCTCCCACACAGAAACATAAAGTGAAAAATAATAGATGATTTTTTAAATGATGATGAAATCAGATCAGACCTATTGTCATGTTTAATCCCAGTGAGAGTCAAGTTGGGAATTGCTAATTTCTTCTTTTCTTTTTTAACAGAAGATCAGTTTAGTATACATTAAGTAAAGATTTCAACAGTTTGCACCCACATAGAAACACAAAGTGAAATGTACTGTTTGAGTACTCGTTATAGCATTAAGGCTCAATGTACAGCACATTAAGGACAGAGATCCTACATGAGGAGTAAGTGCACAGTGACTCCTGTTGTTGACTTTACAAATTGACACTCCTGTTTATGGCATCAGTAATCTCCCTATGCACCAGTCATGAGTTTCCAAGGCTATGGAAGCCCCTTGAGTTCTCCGACTCTTATCTTGTTTAGACAAGGTCATAGTCAAAGTGGAGGTTCTCTCCTCCCTTCAGAGAAAGGTACCTCCTTCTTTGAAGACCTGTTCTTTCCACTGGGATCTCACTCACAGAGATCTTTCATTTAGGTGGTTTTTTTTTTTCTTTTCTTTTTTTTTTTTGTCAGAGTGTCTTGGCTTTCCATGCCTGAAATACCCTCATGGGCTTTTCAGCCAGATCCGAATGCCTTTAGGGCTGATTCTGAGGCCAGAGTGCTGTTTAGAACATCCGCCATTCTATGAGTCTGCTGAGTATCTCGCTTCCCATGTTGGATCACTCTCCCCTTTATTTATTCTATCGGTTAGTATTAGCAGGTACTAGACTTGTTTATGTGCTCCCTTTGACTCTTAGTCCTTTCATTATGATCAATTGTGAACTGAGATTGATCACTTGGACTAGTGAGATGGCATTGGTACATGCCACCTTGATGGGATTAAATTGGAGTCCCCTGGTATGTTTCTAACTCTACCATTTGGGGCAAGTCAGCCTGAGCATGTCCCAAACTGTACATCTCTTCCCTCTCTTATCCCCACTCTTATGTTTAACAGGGATCACATTTCAGTTAAATTTCAACACTTAAGAATAACTGTGTATTAATTACAGAATTAAACCAGTCATATTAAGTAGAACAGACAAAAAAAAAAAAACTACTAAGAGGGATAATGTATTAAGTTGTTCATTAACAGTCAGAGCTATGCTGATCAAGTCACCGTTTCTCATAGTGTCCATTTCACTTCAGGAGGTTTCTTTTTTGGTGTTCAGTCAGTTGTCACCGATCAGGGCGAACATATGGTATTTGTCCCTTTGGGACTGGCTTATTTCACTCAGCATGATGTGTTCCAGATTCCTCCATTTTGTTGCAAATGACTGGATTTCGTTGTTTCTTACTGCGGCAGAGTGGACAGTGAGAGAGAGAGACAGAGAGAAAGGTCTTCCTTTTGTCATTGGTTCACCCTCCAATGGCCGCCATACCTCGCTGATCCGAAGGCAGGAGCCAGGTGCTTCTCCTGGTCTCCCATGGGGTGCGGGGCCCAAGGACTTGGGTCATCCTCCACTGCCTTCCCAGGCCACAGCAAAGAGCTGGCCTGGAAGAGGGGCAACCGGGACAGAATCCGGCGCCCCGACCGGGACTAGAACCCTGGGTGCCGGCGCCGCAGGCGGAGAATTAGCCTCTTGAGCCGTGGCGCCGGCCCTGACCTATTCTTAAACGTTTGAAAGATTCTCGGCTTCTCAGTCTACACCTCTTCCTGGATAATCTCATTTGCCTCCGTGGTTTCTTCTGCGTCAGGGACATGAAAGCTCAAGTCTTTTTCCCAACATCCAGATCTGTAAAATCTGTATAATGAGTTACCTTTTGAAAAGTGCTGCTGCTTGGAGATATCAACTGTCTCAAGTTCAGCTTGTCCAAGCAAAACCCCTCTCTGTGTTGTCACTTCTCTTGACAAAGCCACCACCTCCTTTCTGCCCAGCAACCTTCCTCTCAGCTGTGATTTCTTCTCTCTGTTTCTCCATCTGGTTACCCTCTCATCTCGTGACTGTGCCATCCTCCTCTCCATCCTTCCCTCAGCCACTCTCACTTGGTTTGCTACCACAGCCTTTTGCTCAAAGTCTTCCTATCCTGTGTTATACCTCTGCTAGGGCCCATGATTACCTTTCTAGGAAAATCAATCAGTTCATTGATGTCTTGAGTAGAATCGATCAAGAGTCTTATTGAGAGGTTGGCATTGTGATGTAGCAAGTAAAGCCCCTGCTTGTGACTCCAGCATCCCATATGGATATTGGTTTGAGTCCCTGCTACTCTACTTCTGATCCAACTCTCTGCTGATGTACCTAGGAAAAGCAGAGGAAGATGGCCCAAGTGTTTGGGCCCCTGCCACCCATGTGGGAGACCCAGATGAGGCTCCTGGCTCCTAGCTTTAGCATGCCTCAGCTCTGGCTGTTCCAGCCATCTGGAGGAGTGAACCAGCAGATGGAAGATTTCTCTCTGTCTCTTTCTCTCTCTCTCCCTCTCTCTGTAACTCTGACTTTAAATAAATAGATAAATATTTAAACGAGAGTCTTATTATCTGTTTTCATTCAGTGATTTACAACACTATATTCTAAAGATTATATATTCTAAAGATTATGGGCCTGGAATTCCTGGAGAGAGCTATTAACATCCCCAGAGAGAGACTTCGTTTCCATTACATGGTATGATGTGGCTTGTATCCATCAGTCGATCCAAAACCACACATTTACTGAAACCTTTCTGTTTTTCAGAATGACATTTTCCTCAGACATTATGACAAAGGGCCATGCAGGAATAAACTCGGTCACTCGAGAGCATCAGTGATGTGGAACCGAACACAGGTAATCCTGAACTTGAAGGGAGCATGAGACAAACAAGGAGCCCACCCATTCATCCTCATCACTCTCTTCCCTTCCCATCCATGCCTGTCTGGGATGTTCTGGGCTGTGATAGGGAGAAGTGATGGGGCAACTGCCAAAGTCTCCATGCAGATAACAGTGACCTACAGAATCACAGCAGACCTCTTTCCCCTTGACATTCGATGGAATGACCCCTAAATCGCTGTAATGCTTAATAATGATGCCTATCAGAGGCAGCGCTGGACAGTCCCATGAGCCCCTGCTGGGACTTAGAACCCTCTGTACCTGCCATTGTGTGTTTGTGTGGTAGGTTCAAAGGGAGTCATGGTTTATTTTTATATTTATCAAAGGCCACAGTTCTTTTGAGGGAGTCAGTGCTAACATCCCAGCAATCATTAACATCCCTGTGAGAATATAGAGGCAACTCAGGTAGAGAAAGTGCCAACAGCAATGGCTTCTGAGTAGATTGAGCTTGGGACAGAGCTGGAGTTAGCATTTGGTTTGCTCTCACCCTCGATTTTGATTTTTTTGTGTCTCCCTGGTTTGTACCCATTTTGGGCCAGTGCTGGGGTGCTAGTGAAAAGATCCCATAGATATAACTTTTATATGCTCCAAATGATGTCTTATTTATTCAGGCTGCTTGAATGATTTAGACAGCAGAAATTCAAGGGCTCTCTTCCTGCTTCAAAGATGTCCATTTTTTGTTGGGTCCTCCCTTGATGAAGAACAGGGAGAAAGGAAACAAGCTCTCAAACATCTCTTCTTCTTCTTCTTCTTTTTTTTTTTTTTTTTTTTGATATAAGGAAATGTTTATTGGAGCTATTTGATTGTGTTCAGGTTCAAGGCTACATAGCTGATTCCCAGGAGTCACAATTCACATGGAAAACAATGTGGTGACCTTCAAGGCACATCTCTTCCATAGGGCCACTAATCACATCATGAGGACCCTACCCTTATAATTTAATTCATCTCCAAAGACCTTATCTCCAAAATCACACTGGGGATTTGGTTTTGGCATATTAATTTGGAGGGCACAATCCATAGCAGATGGTGCAGTTGGAATAAATACACATGTAGGAAGATTTAACTGCTGAAACATGCTTTTCTTTTAAATTTCTAGGTGGTGGGGATTCTCGTAGGATTGGGCATCATTGCCTTGGTGACTTCACCCTTGTTACTCCTGGCCTCACCCTGCATCATCTGTTGCGTCTGCAAGTCATGTCGGGGCAAGAAGAAAAAGCACGACCTGTCCACAACCTAAGGATCTCTATTATGTCCATGTGCCACAAATGTCTGCGTTATATGACATAGCACACAGCGATAAAGCCCTACGTAGTGACCTTGTCTCCTTGCCAAACTTTGGAAGTGCCTCTGTGTCCAGACTTTGAACTTGCCTGCCAGCCTTCGGCATTGACAAAGGCCAAGTCCTGGGTGCAAGTGTTCCGTGTAACAAGAACCAGGCTCTACAGTTCAGGCTGTGTCTGTGGAGCATGTTGGGCACTTTGGGGAGATTGGGAAGAACACACATATCATTTTCTCATCTACAGGATCCCACTGAACTGTTCAACTTCCAGCCAATTCAAGGAGCCTGCCATTCGATGTAATAAATGAGTTGTGGTTGGTAACACATATGATAACAGAAACCCCATTCTCTTCTGTCTTGATTTGACCACCATGAGACACCTGAGGGAAGCCTGGTGTAGGAGGGGAAGGATGGACTGCAGAACAGAGAATTTTCATGAGAGCTGGAAGCAGCCTGCTTATCTTAGGAGTCAATGGCTTTGTGCTACTGGCTGTGCCGTTCCCAGCGTTCCCGCAGTGACCTGGCAGAAGCACAATAGCTTTCTCCTTGTCTGATCTCAGCTTCAGGCAGGAGAAACTGCTGTGCAAGAGGGTGTTGTCTTTTCCTCAGTAATCAGGTTGCAGCATGTGAAACAGCATGGTCTAATTTAGGGTCTCTCCCTCAGCGAAAAAGAACTTTCCTGGGGCCAACTTGTCTTTTACAGCCTGGACTTGTGGTCTACAAAATTGCTTTATATGAAATGTGGATCTAGTGGTAAAGACTCAAAATCTCCCTGATAGATACCAGGGGTCTTTCTCAGGCTCTGTGTTCCCAACAGATCTGAAATTAGACTTAAAAGTGTACCACGAAAATACATGTTAAAGTCCATCTGGAATCCATATGACTTGCAGCCTATCTAGAATTTCTACCAATTGGACCTGCATGGATATACTCAATAATAAACACAAATTCATTCTATCCTGTGACTAAAATAGCTTAATATAAATCAAGCTTAAGATATTTTGCATATTATATATGTGAATTTTGGTTGCAAGTTCGTATCTTACCCAAGGGTATAGACTCAGAAATATTAATCTTTTAAAATAGTACCTAGAACAATATCATAGTATGTCTATTTATAAAAATATTCATTGATAATCAAGTTATTTACATGTTTTCATACATAAGTCAGAGCAGCTCTGTTCTTGATAATTTAGTGCTGTGTGTACAGGCACTGATAAAACAACAAAAATGTTTAACAAATAAAATGAAAATGTTTTATATCTCTTAAACAGTTTTGATTTATATCACCTCATTTGTGACTTATTTTTCCCATTAGACCATTAGTCAGACTTGAATAGATGGGTGTTGAAGAGGCAAAACCTTTTTCTCCAATAACAGGATTGTATAATGGTCATTAGCATTGTGCCCGGTGCTTCATGAGAACTGTACTAAATGTTAACAGGGAGCTTTGAAGCCAGGCTATCCTATCAGGAATCTTCAGGATCTATGATACTGTCTGAGATAACTGGGTAACTGGATTACTCAGATGCTGCTATCCTGTACCTGTTATTAAAGGCTGATGCTATGCCTCTGTAATGGGAGTTTCCCAAGTGAGGATATGTCTATTTATGGAACTTCCATTCGCACGTATTCATTGATATCTGATGTATGTGAACCTAGATGAGAACTCTGGGAAAACTTTTGAATGACAGCCAACCCAAATCATTTTTAATCATTTATTAGAAATTTCTCAATAATTGTCTGTTTTTAAATTTCTAAACACTTCAGAAAAAGAAACCCTTGCTCTATCAGAGTATTTCATATTGGGATACACATAAATGTAAATATATTTAAAGTGTGAATTTGTTTTGTCTTACACGTAGCCTACTGCCTCAGTATAGGTAAAAGGCGTTGATAATTGCTCAGGGGATCACAGGAACTCAACTGAAATTGAATTTTTATAACAAGAATGTCCATAGTGGCAATGTCCTCTTCTGTTAGTAAAATCTCTCTCGTGCACTAAGAATTTTTAAATGGGGACTGATTTCAAGTCACCAAAAATGCTGTATGCTCAGTGGAAGAGCTCCTAAAGTTGGATTAAAAGGTGGAAGAAAATACCTGTGCTATTTCCTTGGTAAACCTGAAGGAATTTGTCTTCTCACAGAAATATTACAACGGAATGAGCTACTTTTTTAGCCAGGGCTCAAGAGCGGGGTTTGTTTGTCAAACTGATTTGAAATAACTGGATTTGATTTTTTTCAATGTTGAAAAATGCCTAAAAAATAGAGACTTCTTCCTTAAATAGCTAAGTGTGTGTGAGGTTTTCAGAAGCAACTGGCACAGGTTGGTAGGTTAAACACAGACATCTCTGGTGCATCAAAGGGGGTGATACAAGCCAATCTGGAGACTTTGTTTACCAAGGAGTGAGCTGACAACTTGGTTAGCAGGGGCTGGTGTTTTCCTGTTAGGTAACTGACCAGTGAAAGGGTTTGACCTTGACTCCTTCCTCTGTCTGCCAGCTTTATCCTTTCCTAGCGATTTTCTTTCTGTCTAAGAAAGAAATATGGACTTACCTAAGAATGTTAGATGCTGTGACACAGCCTTTTTTGTGTGTGTTTAGAGTAGTACAATCCATTTGAGATAGAAATTTAAAAAAAAAAAATCCATCGCTAAAATGTAATCTGGATGTAATAACCTACCATCCAGAAAAATTACAGGATATAATGGCATAACATTTAGCCAGTGCCCCTTCTAGGAATTCTTCTCTTGTCATTAGACAGGGGAGTGGGAAGGCAGGCCATGTGGAAGCGTATGTTAGAATCTTCGGCGTTCTATTTGTACCTGCTCTGGGTATTTGCTTTGGACTTGAAATCTGTACTTTGAAAGAGGCCTTTGAGAAACACGTAGTCCACAGTGTGAATTTTCTTGTAGCCTGCATCACAAAAACATTAGCTATCCAGGTTGGAAAATCTACATGTTTATTTGATTGTAAATCACTATTTCTTCAAACCCCAAAGTTTCTCTTAAAAATCATTCTGAACCTAAATCTGAATTACCTTTTAGCCTCCCCTACATGGTTCTTCTAGAATATTTTTCTTTTTGTTCACGAATGGATGCCTTCATGTGCGTAGAATTATGTGTACATGTATAGTAGCTTCAAGGATAATTTCAGAATGCCTTCAATGAATGACATTTTATAAAGATGTCACAATCGAGATCCATAGACTGTTACATCTCATGTTGATTCATGATCCAGGAAGTTTTGTTATGTTATTAAGAAATTGCTATTGTATTATTTTTTTTTCAATTTTTTTGGGGGGGGAAGAAACCTGTTTTAGTCTCTCTGGCCCCAATAAATGTGAGCAGGAAATCATGTGTGTGAACCTTTGTTGTGCTGCACAGTTCTAGACACTTTGAATTTTGTCCTCTAAGAATCAACCAAATTCCAGATTTAAACTGTAAATTGCAATGCCGTCTATGGGAATAACTCTTGTTACTTCATTTCTTAAAAAAAACTGGGGCAATGCATTTACTTGTTGCAGACTTTCTTATTGTGTGTGTGATATTCCACGCTGCCAGGGCACAACAATTGATCACTATCCAGAGAAATAACCAACCATACAGATCTTTGATCATTCTAATAAGAAATGCTGCCAGATGTCAAAGCCATTAGTTCTGTAAAATGAGGGTTGGATTAGATGTTCTTTAAGGCCGGTCCTTTTCTTCCAGAAGTCTCTTAGAAGAATGTGTTTCCTTGGTATGATTTTAAAAGAAAAGATTTACGTTACAGTTTTAACTTAAGGTCGTTTCCATTTGATTAGTATTCAAGGCAGTACTCCCTTGAGTTGAGTGCCAGAAGTCTGGTTAACAACCAGAACTTGTGTTACAGCAAAACCAAAGACTCACTTTCTTGTACTGGTGTTGATGGCTTTTTATTGAGTGTTGTATGTTTCTAAAGTGACACCTGAGTATGAAGGCTTACAACTGACTTACAATTCAAATTTAATTTTCTAATGATTCAGTTTTGAAGCAATCAAAGGATCATTTTAAAACATTTTGCGTTTGTGGTCTTTTAATTTTCTTAATCCTGTCCTAGAATGTCAACATTATTTCATTTTCAAAATGTTTATTGTTTCTTAAACTTAAATTTGCATTCCCAAAGAAATATTGAATGAACCATTTTCTAAAGCAGTGATTTTAATCAGTACCCTCACCAGCAAACTCAGTGCAATGTAAATTATGAATCTAGTGAATCTGGAGGAGAATGATAATTAAGTTTTACTGTAATTCAATTATTTTCATTTATTAGATAATATATCTGGTTTTCCCTTGGATCCTAAAGGTAATGTTCAAATGTACATCATGAGAAAGAAAGAAAATGATTTCTTCAAATAATTTGTTAATAGCAATTATATTTTATTTGTATATTTTTATATAAATAATGTTTGAGAACAATTCCTGTGAGATGAATGGAGCAGATATTAGATCCATTCCATAGAAAAATACAAGCAATGGTTTAGTGTTCATACTATCGATGAATGTTAGCCAGAAAAGGAGTTCACACCTCCTTGAAAGTGCATCCATAATCTTTCATCCTGAAAGCAATCATTCCAAACCTTCCTTTACCTCCGAATCTGAGTACCAAGAGAACATATGCCCCCCTCAATTGTCTTCCTCCATGAAGGTGTGTATAAGAAAACGGTTTATTATTTCAAATCATCATTTAGAGCCTGTGTTCATAATTTAGAGTAGACATTACTAGGACACATAGGCCACCCCTGAGGTCAACTGCCATTGCTCTGGGGTTCAGCAAGAGAAAGGCAGGATGGAGGGATATTCACTAAAGAACAAGGCCACGTGCATTTGACTTGTTAACATTGGAACCACACTTAAAGATGATGCATGAGGGTATTTCAAAAAGTTCATGGAAAATGGAATTAAATGTTGTTTATTTTTATGCAAAACAACTTTGAAATACTGCTTAGTTTTTCATAATATTCATTTTCCATGAACTTTTTGTTTTTATTTTTATTTTGTTTGAGAAACAGAGAGCTGCCATCTTCTGACTGACTTGCTAAATGTCCACAATAGCCAGGGCTGGGCTGAGGCTGCAATCCAGGTCTCCCACAGGGATGGCAGGAGTCTAATCACTGAGTCATCACTGCCGCCTCCCAGGGCTCATCGATAGGAATCAGGAAGCTGAAGTCCAGCACTGTGATTCAGGATTTCGACATACTAACCTCTAGTGTAAACACCATTCCTCCATAAACTTTTTGAAAATCACTCATACACTGGGATTTCAAATGTTTGTACCAAAATAAATTTATCTTTTAATTCCATTTTCCATGAACTTTTTGAAGTGTGTTCATACTGTATTTACTCCAATGCCAAAATTTTTGCCTCTCCCTAACAAATACAATGTGTATTTTCACAGATGTCTTTTGTTGTTTACTATCAAGACACCAAGTGATTGCTAACTTAGGTCCAAGCCCTTTCCTAATAACATTACCAACTTCTTGAATGTGTGTTTGTGGCCTGTCATTAAAAAAGTCAACTGATTGTTGTCTCAAAAGCCAGAAATGGGGCTCTAAATAATGAATTTCTGATGTGTGTAAAGAAGTAGTGCTTTGAATTGAATTGATTCACTTTATGCTTTTAGGATTTGCAGTGTCAGTGTCATATTTCTGTTTTGATTTTTTAATATATTAGATCTGGAATTCAGGCTCTTAATGAGAAGAAAATTAGTCTTTCAAATATTAGATATTTTTCTACTAGTTCCTTATTAGCTTGGCATGATTCAGGTGTGTAAATTTTGTTTTGGGGGAGTAGATGAGTGGTTAACATGAACAACATGGGACACTTCGAAGTAAGATCAACTTGAAGCCTTCATGGAGGTAAATTGTGAGATTTCTGATTATCAGTCAGCCTGGACTTAATGTTTTGAAGCCAAGCCAACTTAACTAAAAGCAAGCAAGTCCAATACCTCTGCATGGTGTGCCCTGATTCCAGACTGATCCAAGGACTTTGGCACCAGAAGAACACATGAATGGGGCATGCTGAGAGAGGCTGGAAACTCTGGTGTCACGCTGGGCACAGAACAACTGTGCACTGACCTCTGACAATCAATGTGGTGTGGATTTAGGGACAGACACCCAGTGTGCAATCAGTAGGCTTCAGTTCCAGGCTTGGTTCTATTCCTACTGAAGGTGGGACAAGCCAAGTGTAGCACAGTGTCACGTCAGCTGTGTCCCAGGTTAGGCTCTGGAGGAGTGAATGAAATCCAAAATGTCAAAATGCTTCTAAGAATTGTGTATTAGGAGGGTGAGAGAAGAAAGGACAACTGTGCCACATGTGCTTGTGGCTGTGAGTGTGGGGGATGAGTTTTCAGATAGACAGGGTTCTGAAAAGATAAGGCAGAGGGACTGGTTATGAAATACATCTCAAGGGGCTGGCACTGTGGCATAGCAGGTAAAGTCATTGCCTGCAGTGCAGGCATCCCATATGGGTGCTGGTTTGAGTCCCAGCTGCTCCACTTTTTTTTTCTTTCTTTTTTTTTTCTTTTTTTTGACAGGCAGAGTGGACAGTGAGAGAGCAGACAGAGAGAAAGGTCTTCATTTTGCCGTTGGTTCACCCTCCAATGGCTGCCGCAGCTGGCGCACCGCGCTGATCCGATGGCGGAGCCAGGTGCTTCTCCTGGTCTCCAATGCGGGTGCAGGGCCCAAGGACTTGGGCCATCCTCCACTGCACTCCCGGGCCACAGCAGAGAGCTGGCCTGGAAGAAGGGCAACCGAGACAGAATCTGGCACCCTGACCGGGACTAGAACCCAGTGTGCCGGCGCCGCAAGGCAGAGGATTAACCTAGTGAGCCGCGGCGCCGGCAGCTGCTCCACTTCTGATCCAGCTCTCTACTATGGTCTGGGAAAGGAATGGAGGATGGCCCAGGTCCTTGGGCCCCTGTATCCATGTGGGAGACCTGGAAGAAGCCCCAGGCTCCTGGTTTTGGATAGGCCCAGCTCCGGCCGTTAAGGCCAATTGGGGCATGAACCAGCGGATGGAAGACTCTCTCTGCCTCTGTTTCTCTGTGTAACTCTGGCTTTCAAATAAATAAATAAATCTTTTTTTAAAAAAGAAATACGTTTCAAGTTTGTGACTGTTTGTTGAGAGAGGTATGATCTACTCCCCTCAGTGAATGTATTGTCTTTGTAGTTTTTAAGTAAAAATTCTTGTATTCCATCTTTTTACAAAGAAATATTTCACAAAATAATTAGTTATCTGACTTTATGCTTAGTGAAAATGAGGGATATGTGTAGAGAAAAATACCAAATTTGTATCAACATACTGATTTATGGGGGAAGTGGAGGGCTTTACTATACATACAAACTTGCGTGCCTGTGTGATGGCTTAGGATGGAAAGTGCTTTCAAACCTATTGTCTTTTGCTCTTCATGCTACTAGGAAATAGCAATTGTTGTGTTTATTGCTAGTAGATAGTAGTAGATATTACTATTACTGTTGCACCCACCCTCCATTTACAGATGGGACATAAGACTTGGTCTGGGCGAACCAGTACAAGGTGGTATGGCAGGTGGGTGGTACAAGTGAGAATCAGTCTTCCCAGGTTAAAAACCAAAGTGTTGGGGCTGGCACTGTGGTGTATCAGGTAAAGCTGCCACCTGCAGTGCCGGCATTCCATGTGGGTGCTGGTTCAAGTCCCGGCTGAGCCACTTCCAATCCAGCTCTCTGCTATGGCCTGGGAAAGCATTAGAAGATGGCCCAAGTCCTTGGGTTCCTGCACCCAGGTGGAATACCTAGAAGAAACTCCTGGCTCCTGGCTTCGGACTGGCAAAGCTCAGGCCATTGTGGCCATCTGGGGAGTGAACCAGTGGATTGAAGACTCTCTCTTTTTCTCGCCTCTCTTTCTCTGCCTTTGCCTCTCTCCAACTCTGCCTTTCAAATATATAAAAACAAAACAAACAAACAAAAACATCTAAGGTGTTGGATTGCTTTATGGCCTCCTCTGGGGCTCAGGTCTCCTAAACTCAATGGGTGTTATCAGCATTCATTTTATTCTCATAGCTTCCATGAGGTCCCTCCATCTTCATACCTACAAGGGCTCTTCAAGTCTTTCTCAAAATTTAATTTCTTGGACTTCCTCTTCTGATGCATCTTTCTCATTTCCATTATTTTACATTTTAAAATGGCCATGTAAGCAATTGATCTTGTCATTTTCAAAGGGAAATAGAACTTCAAAAATTCTGTAAAGGCAAATAATTTGCAGATGATTATCTTGAGAACATCAGAAACTTGTGGAAAGCTTAAAAGCAATCTCTCATTTCCTGCAGGAAACTACTGATTGAAAGTTGTGACTGAGCCT